TCCTGACTGTGAAGGAGCAAAATTCTGCAAAGCGAAAAGTGACCTGTTGTTTTAAAAATTGTAAGGACTATGGCCAATTATTTTAATCTGGTTTTTAGCGATCAGAGGTTTCTTTTTAGATTAGTCAAGTAACCTAAATTTTCTGAATTGTTTTTCCCTCTAACAAATAACATCTCCGTCTTTTCAAAGAACTGAGAGTAGCGTTAAGAAAAATAGTGTTATTTTAAGGTTACGATTGTCCAAATCACTAGTATCTCTGTTAAAGAACTTGTTTGTTCTCTTTGATTCCCTTTAGGGGTTCTATGATGTCCTTCGAAGAAACTCTCAACTGGCTAATTCAATCATGCATACTCTGCTCTCACAGGTAAAATATGTTTTTATGGATATAGAGAACATAATGGGGCATTGAGAGGCAATCGACATTTTCCAGACTTTTTGAAATATAAAATAATTCCCAAATAGTAACTGGTAAATCGTGAGCGTGCCTGGGGTATGTAATGCTGTCCTGATGTTTTATTGTAATCACCACTTATCTCCCTGCCATCTTGCCATCTTCTAAGTTATCGCTCTCGATTAACAGTCTTCCTGAGTCAGAAGGATATTATACAGAACCATTTGTACAAGAGCTATCAGCAGCTCGATCTGTTATGTTTTATTTCTAAAAGAAAAAAGAGAGTTCTGAAGCAAATACAGCAAATGTTAAGTCTAGGTTCCAGTTACCTGGTGTCTATTAGGTTATTTTCTGAAGTTTAATAAAATGTTTTCAATTTATGAAATATTTCAAAGGACCATCAAGATGGAGAGGATTCAGCTGGAGAATATCTGGTGTAAATAAGACCTTTTACCCTCAACACTTATTTATTAAGCATTTATTTGAACTTTTAAATAGCTTTATTAAGATATAATTCGTGTACCATACAATTTGCACATTTAAAGTGTACAATACAACTCATTGGTTTTTTGTATATTCAGAGTTATGCAACCATTGCTACAGTCAATTTTAGAACTTTTCATCATGATCTCAGAAAGAAACTCTACACCTAATTTTCTCATCTTTTTCCCATCTTCCCATCCCTAAGGAACCACTAATCTACTTTCTGTCTCTGTAGATTTGCCTATCGTGGATATTTCATATACGTGGGATCATATAATATGTAGTTTTTCGTGACTAATGTCTTTCACTTAAAAATGTTTTCAAGGTTCATCCATGTTGTAGCAGTTTATCAGTGCTTCATTCCTTTTTGTGGATAAATATTTCATTGTATGGTATTTGAATCTTTTATATACATTGAGGGAGTTCAAGATGTTATTATGTGCTGATAGTAATAATACCTAATGTTTAGCACTTAGAAGGCCAAGCATTTTATATAGTGCTACGTGTGGACAATTTCATTTAGTCTTTATCCCACCTGTAAATTAAGAATGGCTACTTCCATTTTACAGGTTTATATTGCAAGACTCTGAGAGGTTAAGTAATTTAATTTGCTTCAGGTCACACAGTAAATGAAAGAGCTAGGATTTGAACTCATATCTTCCTGGCTCAAGAGCCCAGGCATGAAAAGCTTCATACAGGATTGAGAACAAGGAAAGTCTTTTCAACAAATAGTCTTGTGAAAACTGGATATCCACATGCAAAAAAAGTTAATTTGGGCCCTTATCTTACACCATGTACAATAATGAACTCAATATGGATCAAAGACCTAAACCTAAGAGCTAAAATGATAAAACTCATAGAGGAAAACATAAGGGAAAAAAAGCTTCATGACATTAGATTTGGCAATTTCTTGGACATTGACCCGAAGTACAGTTAACAAGAGGAAAAAAATAGATAAATTGGACTTCATCAAAATTAAAAACTTTTGTGCATTCAAAGAACACTGTCTTCTTACAGAGTAAAAAGATAGCCCACAGAATAGGAGAAAATATTTGCAAATTGTATGTCTGATATGGGATTAATATCCAGATTATATAAAGAACTCCTATGATTCAACAACAACAACAAAACAATTAAAAAGTGGGCAAAGGACTAGAGTAGACCATTTCCCCAAAAAGATGTACAAATACCCAATAAGCTACATGAAAATATGCTCAACATCACTGGTCATTAGGGAAATGTCAATCAAAACCAAGGTGGAATAGCACTTTATGTCTATTAGGGTGGCTATCATCAAAATGGAGAATAACAAGTGGTAAATATGTGCAGAAATTGGAACCCTCCTGCATCGCTGATGGGAGTTTTTTTGTAAAATGGCGCAGCCACCATGGAAAAAAGTATGGCATCAAACATAGGGTCGCCGTTTGATCTAGCAATTCCACTTTGGATATATCCTCAAAACAAGTGAAAGCAGGGATCTTGCCTTTTTAATCCACCGTGACACCCTTGCCCCATTTGAAGGGAATGTTTAGTCAGTTCACATTTAATGTAATTATTGTTATGGTTGGATTTAAGTCTGCTGTTCGTTTTAATTTCTTTTTAGCTTTATTTCTTTTCATTGTATTTTTAGTGTTTTCTCAAGGGGCTACAAGATGCATCTTTAACTCATTACAGTATATTCAGGTTAATACTGATTTTTCTTCTGGTAAAATATAACAACTTAGTACCAATATAGCTCTGTCCTCCTTCTGTTGTGATATTGTCATGCACATTACATCTATGTTAAAATCCCAGTGAAAGTTTTATAATTTTTCTTTAAACAGTTATATGTCTTTTATAGTAATTAAGGATGTTAAATTTTATCAAATACATTTTTGTATCTGTTGAGATAACTATATGATTTTTCTCCTTTAATCTGTTACTGTGGTCAGTTGTATTCCTGGCATAAACCCAAATTGATTATGATATATTACCTTTTTTGTACATTACTGGATTCAGCTTACTAATATTTCATTTAGAATTTTTACATATGTTTACAGAGGAATGTCCAGTAGTTTTCATTTCGTTAGTCTAGGCTTAGTAAAATGTTGGAGAATGTTCCCTCTTTTTCTAGTCTGTGTAAAATTTGAAATTGGTAATTATTTCCTTTATTCCTTTTTCTCCCTTGTATGGAAGTTGTATTCTATCTTTCTTTAAACTAGATTTTTGGCTTTTGATTTTATAGGCCACACAAATAGTGTTAATTCTAGCCCCAGCTACATTTGGAGACTAGCTTGTGGGTAGAAATTCCTAGGTGAGGCTTTTTCCCCCTCCACGTGAAGTCAAGGCTCAGTGAGATGCATTTCCCTACTATCTTTCTTTGTGAGGTGGATTTGTTTTTTAGGCTCATCCACTAAGCTTCCTCCTTTTAAGAAGGCCCATTTTATGTGAGGTTCCCTGATACAGCTGCCACCCCATGAGGGCCCTAGGCTCTGTCTTCATTTCCATGAATTTTTCTACAACTGTAGCTCTGGGCCTCAGGGATTGGCAAGTGCTGCCAGAACGAACACTAGTTCCAGAGCTCATTTGCTCATGTATTTGCTAGATTCATGGTTTATGATGTTTTCTAATATATTCAGACCTCTGAGGACTTCTCTTGCTTTCCCATGACCTTAACTCACTATTTAATAAGTAAATATATGTACAAAAATTTTAATGCAATATTATTTTCATTGTTCTCTACAAGGAGGGTTTTTCTAGACTCCTTATCCATCACTTTGCTGAAAATGGAAGTTCTCTCTTTCTCCCTCCCCCCACTTCTTGCTTTGTCATAATTCTGCTAAGAAACTCCATTTGAAATTAAGATGTCAGATATATAGAAATTATTGGAAACATATTCATCAAAAGCTTTTTCATTGTGCCTTGGGACCAATCCTATTTAAAATTTATACGCTGTTAACTATATTGTATCTTTTAAACTATATTATAATCAGTGCATCTACATTCACACACTAGCAAGAATAGAAAATTATGATTGAAGGAAGAGAGCAGTGCTTCGCAACTCAGGTTAGTATGTGGACCAGTAAAATTCTGCAGACTCCAAAAGCAAAAAAAATAATAAATAATATTTTTTGAGCTCTGTTATGTGCCAAGTAGTGTTTGAAGCTCTGTATATGTATTGGCATGTTTAGTCCTTAACCTTATACGTTTATATTAATAATATAAATTAATAAATATTAATAATATCCTCATGTCACAGATGAGGAACCAAGGCATACTTTTATTGAAATCATTAATCTGTGATGGTACTGGGATTTTGGCCTCAGCCATTCTGACTAGAGACTATATTCTAACCATCAAGCTATACTGAAAATGCTGATTGCCTGTGTAGGTTTAGGAATTGGTGTGAGAACATACGATGTTTTATAGGAGAGTTAATGGAAGTGGAATAGGAAAAAAGATCTCAATTAGTGTGATGCCCAAAGCAAGGGCAAAGGATGTAGGTGAGCCAAAGCAACATAAATTTTGCTTCATTCTTCTGTAGACATTTAGAAATATGTCTTAGAACAGGGGTCTCCAATCTTCAGGAAGCACAGTTAGGAACCGGGCCACACAGCAGGAGTTGAGCGCCGGGTAAGCGAATAAAGCTTCATCTGTATCTGCAGCCACTCTCCAAAGCTAGCATAGCTGCCTCAGCTCCACCTCAGATAGTCAGACATTAGATTCTCTAAGGAGCACCGGCCCCTGATGCCAAACACGTTGGGGACCACTGTGTTAGAAGGCATTAGACATTAAAAGTGCCATTAGCTTAACCAATTAAAAGTGAAAAGCATTCATGAGCCATGGTGTCTTTTTCCTTTACCATACACAGTTAAAACAGTTCTATGAGCCACAACCTGATGTGCTGCCACCTCTGAAATTAGAAGCTTGTATTCTGACCCAAGGAGATCAGATCTCTCTGCAAGAACCACTGGTGAGACTTTTATTCCTCCTATGACCGTTATTTTTACTGTTAAGTTAAAATAACCCTGTTGATAGAGTTGATCTTCAGAGAGAGATACCTTTCCCTGTGAAGCTCTCTTTCTGCTACACCCATGAATTTTTACTCTTAAATCTTTCTTATGTTTCTTTTCTGACTCATCATCACCTTGGATCTATTGATAAGATATCTCTGTGTCAGAAAGGTTAGAAAACAGTGCCTCTGTTGGTTCAATTTATTTTTTCCTGTTTCGTTAATTCGGATTGACTTTATTTGTGATGCTAATGAGTCACTTACTGTAGCCTGATAGGTAAGATTTATTTGTTGATTATCATCAGCTTCACAGGTTATCCTTGAACACTCAAGAATGTTTAATCATTATTTTCTTCTTCAGGATCATCTGCTGTGTTGTATTCAGCACTGTTTGGCCTGGTATAAAAGTAGAGTGTTGCCCCTACAGCAGGAAGAAGAGGAGGAAGAAGAAGGATTCTACCAAGACTTAGATGATATGCTGGAGTCTATTACTAGTAGAATGATTAAGAGTGAACTGGAGGACTTTGAACTGGTAATTGCGAAGTCTCAGTTGTATTGCATAATGGAGGTTTTTAGTAGCTTTTAATTTTCGTCTTATATGTTTTAGGATAAATCAGCAGATTTTTCTCAGAGCACTGGTATCGGCATCAAAAATAACATCTGTGCTTCTCTTGTGATGGGTATTTGTGAGGTTCTGATAGAGTATAATTTCTCCATCAGCAATTTCAGGTATGACTTTACTTGCAGTTTGCTGAATACTTCATTTTGCGAGAGTTTTGTTTGTTTGTTTAACTCTAACAATATGCTAGGTACTGAACAGACTGCAGTCCGTGACACTGTCTCTTGGATAGACATCTAGCCTGAGACCAGACTATGCTCTTTTTACCAGAGAGCACCAAAGCATATGCCAAACAGGCTGGTGAATGTGGTGCCTCTAGCAGGCGTTCATTTATTTAGAATTTCCCAGACCCTGAATTCAAGAACTGCCTATTTTAATTGAGAAATTTTGATTGGTGGTAGTATTGGACTTTCATGCTCTGTATTGACTAGCCTAAATAAGGGAAGAAAAAATAACCCAGATGGATTGTATGACTGGGAGTGCTATGTTAAGGCTCATTCATTCATAATGTGTCTAAAACATGATGTCTAACGAAGCATTGTGATTTCCGTGTTACTCTATGTGAAAGTAAATCACAACTTTCTGATGCTTCTTTGGTCTTTCTTTTTCCCTCTATACAGTAAGAATAAGTCTGAGGAGGTTCTGAGCTTATTTACGTGTTTCAAGAAACTCTCTGACATTCTTAACGAAAAAGCGGGTAAAGGCAAAACTAAAATGACCAGCAAAACACATGATAGTTTTTTGTCCATGAACTTTGTGTCTGAGCTGCTCACTGCTCTTTTCAGGTAAGGTTCTAATAGAGCGCTGTGGACAGCTGCACAATGAAGGTGATACTGGTGAACCTGGGTAGATGTTATTATCTAGTTTGAATTCATGATTCTTAACTGTATATACAGCGAGAAATAAGTCAGGAAGTTTGTAATTTTTTTGAAATGAAAGTTGGACAATTGTAGGTAGGCACTTTAAAGAGGTACCTTGAATTATTAAAGGAAATTTTAGCAACAGTGGACTAATGAATGAAAAAATAGGGATGAATCCTGATAAGGTGTTAAAAGGAAATCTACCTAAGTAGCTTGAACGCAATAACAGATAAAAAGGGAAGAAAAATGTGAACTTAAAAAACAGAGGAACAATAAAACCTAAAGAAAACTAAGACTGAAATTTAAGTTTTATAAAAGTAAAAGATTTGGGGGGCGGGAGGGATAAGGTAATACAACGATTGTAAAAGGGCAGTGCAATATTGTGATTTATAAGAAATATCTATTTGGTCATTCAGATGGCAAAAATATATTTCTCATATATATGTGGTCTCTGTCCACAGTTCCTGACTCATGGGTCTTCAAACCCTTGGAATTTCCTAAGTGTTGAGCATGATAAAGGTGACTTTTGGAAGCACCTAAAGATGGGGGGGCTAGTTGCCAGGAGAACCAACCATGTGATTAGAGGGTTAGAACTTTCAGTCCCACCCCCTGACCTCTGGGCAGGGGAGAAAGGCTAGAGGTCAAATCAGGCTCCGGTGGCCAGTGATTGCATTGATGATGCTTATGTAATGAAGCCTCCACAATACCCAAAGGGTGGACCAGAGAGCTTCTGGGCCAGTGAACATGGAGATTCGGGGAGAGTGGCACTGCTAGTGAGGGCATGGAAGCCCCTCCCTATCCCCATACCTCGCCCTCTGCATCTTTTCTACCTGGCTGTGCCTGAATTACATCCTTTTACAATACTCTGGTGATCTAGTAAGTAATATGTTTTTCTGAGTTCTGTAAGAGCCATTCTAGGAAATTAACTGAACTCGAGGGGGTTGTGGGAACCTCTGATTTAAAGCCAGTCGGTCAGAAGTACAGGTAACAACCTGGACTTGCAGTTAGCTTTCCCGAGTTGAAGGGGGTTATTGGAACCTCCAATCTGCATTTGGTCAGTTTTTCAGAACCTCTGTGATATAACTCAGTTATTACCTGGGCTTTCACCTGGTGTCTGAAGTAGGGGGTGGGGGCAGTCTTGTGGGATTGAACCCCTAACCTGTAGAATCTGATGCTGTCTCTGGGGAGATAGTATCTGCATTGAGTTGAGTCCTTGGACACCCTGAGAATTGCTTGGTGTTGTGGGGTGAAAGCCCTCCCCGCCGTCCCCAACACACACACCATGCACATGGGGAAACTGGGCCTGGGAACCTAATTTAGGCAGTCATGGCACTGACTTTGGCATGGGCTGCCTAAGGTCTATCATTCAGAGCTTGCTGGATGCTGCTATTCTGAACAGTCCCTAGAAAGCCTAATTCCAGATCCCCGTGGCAGTAGGGGAATATCTTTTCTCTACCCCTCTCCCTCCCTCTCTCCCCTACCTCCTTTTCTCTCTCTCTCTAGGGACAGTACACAAAGCCACGAAGAGAGCCTGTCTGTCCTAAGGTCCAGTAGTGAGTTTATGCACTATGCAGTGAGCGTGGCTCTACAGAAGGTACAGCAACTGCAGAAAACAGGGCATGTGAGTGGCCCTCATGGCCAAAACCCAGAGAAGATCTTTCAGAACCTCTGTGACATAACTCGGTAAGTCACTCTCACCCTCAGAAATGTGTTCCACTTGCTGCGGCATCTGCAAGAGAGAAGTAATCAGAATAACTAAAGTTTGAAATAAAAAAAACAAGACTCACGCTACCTGATTTCAAATCTCACTATAAAGTTACTTACACTTAAGATAGTTTGGTATTGGCATTATCAGTGGAACAGAACAGACAGTTCAGAAATAGATACACACAAATATAGTCATTTGATTTTTTACAGAGGTGCCGAGGTAATTTAATGGAGAAAGAAAAGTCTTTAAATGGTTTTGAAACAATTGGGCATCCATATGCAAAAAGTGAACGTTTATCCATTCCTCGTGTCATATAGCAAATAATAACTTGAAGTGGATCAGAGACTTAAATGTAAAACAAAATTATAAAACATCTAGAAGAAAACAAAAATATTTTTGATCTTGTTTTAGGTAAAGATTTCTTAGCTATGACACCAGAAGCACAATCTATATATATAAACACTCAAGGAAATTAAAAGACAAGCCATAGACTAGGAGAAAATATTTGCAAAACATGTCTGATGAAACACTGGTAACCAGAGTATATAAAGAGCTCTCAAACTCGTTAATAAGAAAACAAACTACCAACTTAAAAAGTCGGTAAAATATTGAACACTTTACCGAAGATCTATAGATGGCAAGCACATAAGGACAGAAAAGAATGGTTATTATAATTCATCCTTAAGTAAATGCAAAGTAAAACCACAATGAATTAATCACTAAACGCCTATTAGAATGCCTAAAAGTAAAAAGACTGACCATACCAAAGTGTTGTCATGTGTGTGATGGAATTTGAACTCTTATACATTGGTGACGAGAATTTCAAAAGGTACAATGAGAAAACAAAAAAATAACAAATAAAACGGTACAACCACTCTGGAAAACAGTTTGGCAGTTTCTTAGTAAGTTATGCGCAAACCTGCCATATGATCATCTACACAGTCTATCCTTAGGTATTTACCCAAAAGAAACGAAAACATATATTTATATCAAGGTTTGTATATAGCAGCTTTATCCATAATAGCAAAATTGGAAACAACCCAAATGTCTACCAACAGATGGATGGATAAATTGGTGAAAGGACAAATGGTACCTGCCTAGCAGTAATGTGGGACAAACTACAAATACATCATCGGTAAATCTCAAAAGCATGTACTAACAAAACCAGATTCAAAAAGCTACATGCCGAATGATACCATTTTTATGTGATAACTTTGTAAATGGTAAAACCACAGAAACAGGAATCAGATCAGTGGTTGCTTGGAAAATGGGGGTCGGGGGGAGTGGAGAATTAACTACAAAGGATCATAAAGGAAGTTTTGAGGTGATGGAAATAATTGTGTTATGATTACACACTGTGTAAGTTTGTTAAATTTCATAGCATTGTATATCTACGGGGTGTGAATTTTACTGTATATAAACTGTACCTCAGTGAAGCCAACTTTAAAATCACTTTTCCCCTCTTCAGGGTCTTGCTTTGGAGATACATTTCCATTCCTACCTCAGTGGAAGAGTCAGGAAAGAAAGAGAAAGGAAAGAGCATCTCGCTGCTGTGCTTGGAGGGTCTGCAGAAGATCTTCAGTGCCGTGCACCAGTTCTATCAACCCAAGATTCCCCTGTTCCTCCGGGCTCTGGGTGGGCATTTCAGTTTGGATACATTGGCTTGATCTGGGTTTCTCTTTCTCAGTCGAACCTCTTGATTCTATTTGTTAACCTATCAGAAGACACTTGAGGACAGTCTTGTTGCTAAGACATGACATCTGGTGGACGGATTCAGAATTGGCATTTACTGGATTACACTTAACCACAACTAGTGACTGCAGAATGGAATATGGTATTAAGAAATTGCAGAACGTTAGGAATATATTTAAATCTGCCTCTAGACTCTTGGCTTTCTAAAATTTTAGTTAGCAAAAATGCCAAAAAAAGCATAGTCCATTTCAAAGAAGATAAAATTTTTTTCCTTTCCTAGATGGTCTAGATGATGAGGGAGAAGACGTGGAAGTCAGTGTCACTCAAAGAGCAGCATTCCAGATCCGGCAGTTTCAGGTGAGGAGCCTTGGGAAGCTGCAGTACTTGCCCAAGGGTCGTTGCAAAGGGACTGTTAGCTGGGGCAGCTGGTGAGAATGGGAGCAAGTAGGACAGCAGTTTTTTCTGGGTCATCATCCAAGCAAGAGGACATAATTCCTAGAATGAAAGCTAACGCATTTAAAAGGATGCTGGTGCGGATGTCTGTTCAGCCATCCCACCCTGCAGCACTCATGTCCTCCAAGAATCACTGAATTGACACAAAGATAGTCGGGAGCCCCTTGAGGTATGAAGTTTCTGCCTTTGTTTTGTGTCCATGGTATAATTTGGCTTTGTCAGGTTACATAAAGACTGACCATTAGATTAGTTGTCACAATATCTGAATCTTCTATCACAGAGGATTTCTTTAATTAATAAATAATTTTAAAGTTCCCGCTATTTGCCAGGGACTATTCTAGGGGCTGGGGATATAGTAGGGAACAAAAAAAGACGTAATCCCTATCCTCGTTGTAGCAGAAGAAGAGACTGACAGACAAAATAAAGATTATTTCAGATGGTGAGAGGAATAGAGAAAAGGAAAACAGGGAAGGTGTGTAGGGAGTGATGGGGTGGGGGGGCATGGTCCAAACCCAAGGTCAGCGGACGGGCTTTGGGGAGCTATAAACCCCCTAAATGGTGCACAGTCATCCCTAACGTGCATTGGGAGAGGGGAGGAGTCCATAGTGTTTAAGAGAATGCTCAGATCAGTCAAAAACAGTAGGAAGCTAGCTGTTCAGTGGAATTTATTTTCAGATTTTGTCCTCTTGGAATTTCAGTAGCTTTGAGTCCTTTCTGTCCCAGCCTTAGAAATCTCTGGCTAGATGTCTCTTCACCCTGGTAGGAACATGTCTCCTCATGTGTCTGTGTATACTTTCCTTTCTCAGCGGTCCTTGTTGAATTTACTTAGCAGCCAAGAGGAAGACTTTAATAGCAAAGAAGCCGTCCTCCTCGTCAGTGTTATCGCCAGCTTGTCCAAGCTGCTGGAACCCTCCTCCCCTCAGGTACAAGCACCACTCACTAGGTCCCACCTAGCATCTCTCAGAAGGCCCAAGGTATTGCATCTTAAAAGGATGTATCTAAATATCCTCTTGAAGTCTAATTTGTTTTAAATAATATATTTAATTATGCTCCTGAGTTAATATATGATCTATAAGATGGACCCTTCCCTGCGTAGTGTTTCTACCATGACGTAATTACACACAGCCATCCAGGGCAAGAACATGCTGCTTTTGTTTGGCCACTGTCAGGGGTCAACAGTAAGCACTATAGAAAAAATCATGTTTATCTTTGGTGTCTTCAACCTTCTTAACCTGTGTTTTTACTCTTGCTGATGTTTCATCTTTTTAGAGATGAAAATAGGTTAATTATTAAGAAGGTAGCTAACATTCAGCAGTTGGCTTTCTCAGCTGGTACTGAGTTTCAGAGAAATTCATCCAAAGGTGATTAAGTCACAAAGTGTGACTACAGTCCCAAAGCAGAAACAACTCTGCTGAGATAGGTCCTATATATATGTGTGTAGGGTACAATTGGGCACCCACACAAGTGTTCACGCACAGAGAAGAATAAGAGGAGAGCCGCATTTTGTGGGTCTGTTCCATTCAGGAGTATTTCCCTATAGGACAATAAAGAGCATCCTTGAGTGCCTAGCACTGTGTGCTTCTACCACATTTAGTTCCCGCTTCCTACTTCCTACTTTGGTGAGGAAAACAAGTTGGAATCCTAGGGTACAAGGCTCCTTGTGTGAGCCCTTGCTTCAGGAAGCACTAGTCTTTAAGAGACTATAGAGGGGGAAGGAATATGGTGTTTGAGTGCTGAAAAGCCGTAATTTTCCTGTTCTCTGCATTCCAAATAGCCCAAAGAAAGTCCCTTTTTCTCGCTCCTCACTTCGTCCTAGATCCAAACAACTCATCCCCACTTGACTTTCAGCTTCATTCTTTCATACCAGTGTTTTTGATGCAAAGAACAGGACTAGGAAAGAAACACAGCTACACAGAATTGGGCAGGGGGATATTTAAGGAAAGATAAATGGATTTGGAAAGGTTTATATATACAGAAAATTTTTACTTTAAAATTCACCATCCCACCCCCATAATTTCAGGTAGTCTCTTGTTTTTTAAATTTAATTCGGAACAGGTAATAAAGTCCTATGATTTGAAAACCGGAGATTATAAAAAGAAGTACAAAATATAGTCTCTCTCCTATTTATTTCCCCTACCTGTTCAGTTCCTCTTCTCCCCCAAATAAGTAAATACCTTTTTATAATTTCTTATGTATCCTTCAAGAGTTTCTTTATATCTGGAGAAGCAAATATGAATATAGATTTCTTTTTCCCATCCCTACCTCTCTCTACACACAAAAGCTTGTCCTGCCGGTTACATTTCACATTGTATCTGGAGACCTTTTTATATCAGCTGAGAGAGCTTTCAGAATCAGGCTCCGAATTTACCTTTTTTCCCAAGAGTTCAAAAAACGGAATTCTTACTGGTCGTTTTGCACTTACGTATCACAGCGTTTCAGGACCAGAGAGCTGCTGGAGCAGAGGGCTGGTGTGCATCTGGCAACACAAGACTTACTATCCCAGGACCACAGGCAGGAGAAAGGTGCTCCAGCCTGAGCCTGTGGTCATAGGGCAGGGGAAGCTCGGGGGTATGAGCCCAGACCCCAGGACTTAGCCCTTAGTGAGGGCATGGACTATGAGAACTAAGTCATATGCTGTATTATGAGAAAAGTGTCAGTAATTTTCATGAGTCTGGACTTATTTTGATGCTATTCTTTGTAGATTGCCACTTTCAATCCAGGCACATGCTTGAGTGATTAGATTGCGAAAGGTCTAGGGTTCTTCTGGGCTCACCTCTTGACATGTTTCTTTAATACCTGCATGCTCTCTAGTTTGCGCAGATGTTATCCTGGACGTCTAAGATTTGCAAGGAAAATAGCCGGGGTAAGTTTTCCGCCATGTTTCCTTTTCGGCTTTATATAAAACCATCACCAAATACAAAAGGTATTTCCCATTACACAGTCACCAGAGTGGCCAAAGTGAGAAAGAAGCACAGTACCAGTACCAAGTGTTGGTAAGAGTGTAGAGCAGTTGGACCGCTGCTGGAGGTGTAAGTTGGTATAACCGCTCTGGAAAACTGGCAGTACCTAACTACTAAAATTAAACAAATGCGTATGACCCAGCAATTCCACACCCGACAGATAGGTGGAAGAATTCTCACAGCAACAGTATTTTCATAAGCAAGCAAACCCAAATGTCCATCAGCAGTGGCATGAATAAAGGCATCGTAGAGCATACACACAGCAGAGTACTGCCCAGCAGTGAGAATGGATGAACTACACCAACACAATGCGGGGGAATCTCACAAAAGAGGAGCCAGACACCAAAGAGTACTCCCAACTGTGTGATTCTGTGTAGATAAAGTTCAAAATCAGACAAAACTAGATGTGAGCTTAGATGTCAGGGTAGCAGTTTCCTTGACAGGGCAAGCGAGGCCAAAGGTTTCTGGGGTGCTGGTGATAGTGCTCCTTGGTCTGGGTGCGGGTTACGCAATGGCAGGGACTAAGAATGGGAAACATCCCCCTGCTTTGTGCATATAGAGAGTAGTGCACCTTCATGGGCAGGTTGCTCAGTCGAATTATGTGCAGCCCTGGGGTACTGTGCCTGGGACACGACGAGCTACGTGTCCTGGTTATGCACCCCCTTACCCTGAAGGACCGACAGGGTTATAACTGACCTTTTCATCTTTCCTTCCTACTCTAGAGGATGCCTCGTTTTGCAAGGGTTTGATGAATTTGCTCTTCAGCCTGCATGTTTTATATAAGAGTCCTGTGACCCTGCTGCGGGACTTGTCCCAGGATATCCACGGGCATCTTGGAGACATAGACCAGGTACTGTAGCAGGCCCTCGGTACAGTTCCCTGAGTCAGGGCAGAGGTCAAGGGAACAGCCTTACTGCCATGACAGCTCACCTCTTTCCCGCCCCAGGATATAGAGATGGAGAAAACAAACCACTTTGCGATGGTGAATTTGAGAACAGCTGCACCTACTGTCTGCGTAAGTGTCGATCCCCAAGCCATGGGAAATGGCCTTGTTATTCCTTTCATTTTATTTCATGTGAAGAATAAATTGTAGTGGCTTATGTCCTGAGGCCTGTAACCCACCCACTGTAAGTGGCCATGGTTACCATGTTACGCCAGCAGCTATGTGCAGGGAGGGAGCCATGCCACACGTTCTTTTCTTCCACAGTTACTTGTTCTGAGTCAGGCTGAGACGGTCCTAGAAGAAGTAGACTGGCTAATCATCAAGCTTAAGGGACAGTTGAGCCAAGAAACCGTATCAGGTAAGATGAGTTCAGGGTGGCGTTCCAGGAATTGTGATCAGAGCAAAGTCAACCAAAATCTAAGCTGGACTGCTGTGTGAAAGTAGATGCCCCGAGTGCCATTCGTCTGCGGTCGACTGCTGATGTGATGACAGTAGGCGGTAGTGTGGCTCATGACAGCATGGTTATTCACTGTGCATGATGAGTAACATAATCATTTTACCTACAAACTTCCTGGTAAATGGTAAATCTGGTAAATCTGGTAAATCTCCTTCACTTTAACTAGAAAATAAGGCCAGTTGGGTTTGAATGTGCCAATTTCATTTCCCTTCAGAAGAGGCGTCTTCTCAGGCAACCTTACCAAATCGTCCCATTGAGAAAGCCATCATCATGCAACTGGGAACTCTGCTCACATTTTTCCATGAGCTGGTGCAGACAGCCCTGCCATCGGGCAGCTGTGTGGATACCTTGTTAAAGGACCTTTGCAAGATGTACACCATTCTTACAGCACTTGTGAGATATGTGAGTATCTGAGCGATGATCAGGGTCACCACCACCAGTCTGTCCAACCAGCCAGGAGACTAGGCCAGGGCAACAGCCCACTGATGCCCCTCCACGGAGCTCTTGCCTACACTTTGGCAATTCATGATTTGATTCTTGTTTGGTCAGTAGTGGCAGGCATCTCCACGGGCCAGAAAGAAACAGTTGATGGCCTAATTCTAAACCTGCTTTTAGAGGCCCTTATTTCCTTGGCGTATGAGTTTATAGCATCTGATTAAGTGTGAATCCCTCTTCGAATGTCTTCTAAGACTTAATCTATAGAATTCAGTCTGATTCCCTATTGCACAAAAAATTACACTATTTGGAACCAGTCTGGGTACTAGAAAGGTGGTTTTCCTTCTCTCTTGCCTTTAACAAGTAGCTGTTAAATACTTTACAGGTCAGGTACTAAGGTGAGGAAGAAGGGTTTGTTTGTTTTGTTTTGTTTTGTTTTGTTTAAATACAAGGCATACTCCACCCTGAGTTTTAAGTTAATGCTTCTTGGTACCTGTTGACAGTAAACACTCTTGCGCTTGAATATTTTGTTCCTCAGCAGAGATTCAGAGGGTGATAGGAACTAAGTAATTCAATTCTGAATCTTTTTTTTTTTTTTTTTTTCAATTCTGATTCTAACAGTGATCCATATTAAATACTTAGTCACAGACAACCAAAGAAAGCTGGTAGACCACCACACAGTGTACCCAAACAGCAGTGTAGCTATCTTGAGAAGGTGCAGCTCTGGCCACATGGTGTGGCTACTAAGCTTCTGCAGTGGAAATACTGACAGCCTCTTCCCTTTACTGGCATTTTTTTTTAAGGTAAAAACAGCAGTCATTGGCATTCTAAATGCAAGGACTATCAGCCCGAAGGATTTTTAAAGTAATGGGTCGAACAAGTCAGAAACAAACCCTTTCTTGCCTGTTGTGTGGGAAACTTAGGAGCTCTGAGGAGAAGCAAGCCTTGTGTCTAGGATTCTCCATGAATATAGTAGCTTTGCTCTTTCCTCTCCAGTCAGAGCAATGAGTCACACTTCGTTAGCTCAATGAGTCACTTGTGGTTTCGTGTACATTTATATAAGATATGCTAAATCTAGGAATCTCCTTAGTATCTCCAGGTATATCGGAACTCCAGAGGAATTCCAAAGATTATGGAAAAGCTGGTGAGTTCAGAATGCCTTTCTTAGAAATGGGGGAATCATTTTATTTCTACAGTTACATCGGTTTCCTTCTTTGCTGCAGGTGAAGCTGTCGGGTTCTCATCTGACCCCCCTATGCTATTCTTTCATTTCTTACGTACAGGTAAGTGATTCAGAATCAGTACCAAAATAAAACTTCAAGTAAGAAAGGACTTCCAATGTTCCCAGGGGCCTGCTTAGTCACCCGAGCTGAGTATATATAAAGTTTACCCCCTACTCACCATCAGCCAAAGTGCCCATTTGAGGCTAAGCCAAGGCTCAGTCTTCGCAGCAAGGAAATCTTTCGTCACATCTACAGAAAGGCTCATCGAGTTTGTGCTGAGGGAAACATCTGATGTGCTTGCATCCAGAGCAGGGAAGGAACAGGCCTCCGTAGGCTCAGTGACTTGGTTTACTTCTGGGTGATTCCAGATCTGTGCCAGTGGGTCCGCTTTGGGGATGTGAGTAGAAGAGCAGCGGGCACGTGGAGCAAGGCCAAGGTCAGAGGTGAGGTGTGTGTGTGTGAGCAGCAGCACTTTCAGGGAGATGGAGGGTTTACGGGCTTTTGACGTCAGCTGCCCAGGTCCCTTTTCTTCTCCTAAATTAATAAAGTAATGGGCTTTTTCAGGGTTTGGCGAAATTTTAAATGTCATCTGGTCTCAAATACCATGAGATTCTTGCAATACTTTAGTCCCCTTTACTGTAGACCCAAACCAGAGTTTTTTAACCTCTGCATTGACAGTTTGGGCCAGGTAATTCTTTGTCATGGGGCTTGTCCTATGTATTTTAGGGTATTTAGCAGCATCTGTGGCCTCTACCTACCAGATACACATAGCAGCCCCCCATTTCTGTGACAATCAGAAATGTCTCTAGAAATTGTCAAATGTCCTTAAGGAGCAATGTGAGCTCTAGGTAATAACCACTGGCTTAAATATATGAAGTGACAGGAGACCTACTGTCTCCCAAGGCCACTGAGTCACTGCAGTTAAGAGTATTGTAAGGCAGTTACTGATCTTTGAAGAATCAAAGAGAATGTCCACTGATGGGTCAGTCCAAGCCAAGATTCTAGAATCAGTGTCAGAGCAGTGGATCGTGACTGCTGATAATGATGCCCCCCGCCTGTTTCTTGCCTGTGCATCATGTGCAAGCACAACATCCTCCCTTCAGTAATTTGCCTCGTTATGTGCATTAGTGGTGTGTCCTCTTCTCCCCTCAAGGGTCAGTGACCAAGTGGCTTGTCACCTGGGTTTAGCTGAAGTTCTCAGTAATGTATCAGGTTTTCAAATCTAGTCAAGCACTTTTTTTTTTTTTTTAATAATAATAATACTATTTGGCAGAATGGTGTTTCATAGAGTACGACTTGGGAAACACTGCTGTAAGACCATTCTCCTTTCCTTGCCATTCACATTTCGAACCCTTACCTGGTTCTCTCTGCTCCTTGCCTGGTGTTATGTGAAGCTCTTTCCATGCACCACTTCGTTCATCCTCACTACACTTTGTGACTGGAAGTTATCCCCATGTGAGAGTGGAGAGAAGATTAGAGGAGTGAGTGCCAGAAACAGCTCGTTAAGGGTTGAGACTTAAACCCAGGTAGTTTGACTCTACAACAGGGGTCCGCAGACTTTTTCTGTAAAGGGCCAGATGGTAAATATTTGGGGTTTTATGGGCCATACAGTCACAGTTACTCAGTTTGGCCACTGCAGCATAAAAGCAGCCACAGACAGTGGGCCGGATTTGGCCTATGGGCTGTAGTTTACCAGCCCCTGCTCTAGAATTGTACTCGATCCATATCAACGTGTAAAATGTTGGAGGGTTTCGGGCTTTTGTGTTTCTGACCCCATTCCGAAGCATTTTCTTCTGCCAATCACCAGGCACCTCCTAGACTGTTTTTTCTTTTTTCTATATTACACAAAAACCCTGGATATTTTCCCTCTTTCCCATCTTTTTTTGACTTTAAGCCTTACTAACAAGTCAGTTGATACACAAGCAAACATTTTTCTCTGACTTCGTGAGGTGTGCTTAAAGGAATTAAGCAACTCATACCTAGAAATCAGGCTCAAATTTGACACATCTTTCAAAAAACTGTTTACACTCTCATAGCCCCTTTCTTTCCACAATCTTGGGAAGAAAGCAGTGAAAGCCATCATGCCAAAAGCCTTAATATCCTGCTCAGAAATGTCCATCTCTAAAAGATGCTGCTTCTCTTCCAGCTACAGTTTTAGTCCTGCCTGCATCAGGAGGAATGGGCAGGGCATAGGGGGTTAATTTAGGAAGTTTCACGAGGGTCTCGTCTTGGGCTCACCCTCCAAAAAGATGGCTCATGTCCCTCTTGGTCACGAGTTCATCTGTAGCTGCTTCCCTGCCCCTCCCCTAAAAGAGCTTCAGCCTCTACCATCACCATCCTCTACCCTGCCTTCCAGGACGGATGTTTTCACTCTAGCCCTCTGGAATCCCTACCAGTTATTTTCCTGAACACGCCATGTGGAGCAAGCCTCCTGCCTCTGGCATGGCTCCAGTGGTGTAACTTCTGGTTTTAATTCTCTTACTCATCCCATAGAGCATGGTGTGTTCAGTCTTAGAAGACATCAAAGTCCCCTCTAAGTAAAGCTTCCTATGGTTGTGTCCCTCACTTTTGGGTGGTGTTTCTCCTTGGTCTCTTCAGACTCTGGCCTTATCAGAATCCTGTACTTCTTGGTTCCTTTCTCTATCAGTTGTTCCTTCTCCAGGAGCTCTTTAGTCTCTGATTATCCATAACCTAGAGATGTAAGTGTCCCATGACTTCTAACCCCTTTCAAGCATGTAACCACATGACTGGTTAAGACATTATCTGGCGATTGCCTCTGAGTAAGGAACCTACAGATCCCGGGAAAAGCCTCTCCAACTTCCTCTTCATGAAGCCCCCTTTCAGCCTGCTGCCCAGTAGGGAAATAATGATTCCTGCTACCACTCTGACAATCCCCATTTTAACCATCCTTGGCTGGCCTGATAGAATAATGGCTGATCCTGCCCTCACCTCCATGTGCTAGTTCCAGGGACAAGATTGTAAACCTCACAACAATAGAAAAATGTCTGAGGACTATAAGCATCACAGTATGTTTCCCATCTTCCAGCATCTGCTGCAGGATAGTCTTCTTTATCTAAGCTTTACCTAAACTTGGGCCCCTTAAGAGTCCCCATACACGGCTATAATCACTTTCCTAGAAGATGACCGCCAGCCTGCAAAAGTCTTCAGGAGTAAGGGAATTTGTTTCTATTTCTCTAGAACAAGAAGACTAGGAGCCTAAAACATACAGGAGGAAAGAAAAAGGAGAAAGCCGCTGCTGTTGCCATGGCCATGGTGAGCCACTGACATGCTCGTTCCAGGGGGGCTGCTGGTGAACCTGGAAAACACTGTTAAGCGGAAGAAGCCAGTCGCAAAAACTATGCAGGATAGGCAAATCTAAAGACAGAAGATAGATAGATGAGTGGTTGCCTAGAGCTGGGGATTGGATTGGAAAGACTCGAGGGAGGTGCCTACTAAAATGGGTACAGGTTTTCTTTGCGGGCATGAAAAAAATGTTCTATAATTTCTAGTTGTGATGGTTGCACAACTCTGAGTATACTAAAAAAAAAAAATTGTACAGCGTAAAGGGGTGAATTGTATGGTATGTGAATTATATCTCAACAAATCTGTTATAAAAATGTATATATAAAACTGGGGGGAAAGTGTGTGTATGGCAGCTTCTGAGCTCACGGATTTTATGTTCAGATGGAACATCTTTTTCCTCTGAACCAAAAAACATGCTTTATTAGGAAGTACTAAAAAAAATGAGCTCTTTTAAAAAAAAAAAAAAGAAACAGCTTAGGACACCCACTGGAAAAGATTGTATTTGGCAAAGTTAGTGCATGCAGAAGGTGCTCCCTCCTCAAGTACGTGTAGGAGGTGGTGAAGGTGCAGGGTGTGGTCAGGGAGTTCACAGAGGTGAGAATTAGCCCCATCTCTCAAGGGGCTAATGTGGCAATAACTGCTTTCACTAATAGAAGACTAGCTAAATGGGTTATAGTGTATTTATACTGTAGAATACTATGCAGACATGAAAAAAATACAAATCTACATGCTTAGCTATAGAATTATCTCTTAAGACATTTTTTTAAAAAGATGAGAAGAATGTCCTTATTTGTGGTTGTATTAAAATATAGAAACATATCTATATGAATGATATGGTTGAAAAGATCTGTAAATTATAATTCAAACTGGGGGAAAGATAATATAATCCCAATAGTGAAACTTTATGTGCAGACTAGAAAGAGGAAACAGAGCTGGTGCAGAGTAGGCTTATTGTTTTAAAAATATCAAGTCAGGCAACCAGATTTCTACAAATGGCCCTTCCCTCAGCCAGCCTCTAGGTGACAACAAATACTCAGAAATTATAAGTGGAAGGATCCAGTGTGATCTGTTGGCATTTAAGTACTTTGATTAGATTGAACTGCCAAAAATGATAGATTACTGGTACCAAAGTAAAACTGCTTTTGATTGAAAGACCAGCTTTCCCCCAAAGCCATGAGCAGTTCTACTGCTGACAGCATTAGCGGACTGCTTCAAAAACTTGAATCTGAAATGTAGGCCTTTCCTTCGCTGCTCTCTAGGCCAGAGTTCTTCGGGAAACCAAGCCAATCCCAAATCTCATTTTTGCCATTGAACAGTATGAAAAATTTCTCATCCAACTTTCCAAGAGGTCCAAGGTAAACATACGCTATTGCTTTCTACCATTTCCATTTACCCTGTGAGGGACCTGGCAAAACGGAAGCAGCCCGACTGCGGCGGGGGGAAAAACTACAGTCCTTGTCCGTTTCTAATCTGGGGGCCTGAATCCAAACATCATGTCGGAAGCTGATGGAAAAACAGGTCCAGGGTGTCTGTGTGCTTGCTTTAAGTAGGAACTGAAGGGTCTGTCAGAGGTACAGCAGAAATGGTGTGGGCTGTTCCGGGCAGGGCCTACCAGCAGGAGCATGTGCCCAGCCTCACAATCCCATCACAGGTGAACTTGATGCAGCACATGAAGCTCAGCACCTCGCGGGACTTCAAGATCAAAGGAAACATCTTGGACATGGTTCTCCGAGAGGACGAGGATGAGGAAGATGAACATGACGAGGTCAGTGTGTTTCTGACTGGGTGCGGCAGCCCCGGCTACCCTTTCTCACGGGTTGCAAGTAGGCTGTCTGGGAGCAACCACAGATCAGTAGAGGGACGACAACCGCAGACAAAATGAGCTGAAAGGTGGTTCGGCAAGGGTGATACTAAAAACTCTTGAGAGGAGGTTTGTAAACTTTAAATCACACCAAGGTGCCCAGACTTGTATACATTTTGAGTACACATTTCCAGAAAGGGGCCGGTGACAAGACAAGGTCTTACTGCAGGTTAACTACTGGAAAATGACTGATGGCCAGAAAGTTTACTTCCTCTTTTGCCATTCAAATAGGGCCGCTCTGATTCGTTCAGGTCGGGCCAGTCTCATCTCCTCCTCCTTTGCCCCCTGGTCTGTTCCTCTGCCTTCAGTTTCAGCAGTTACAACAGCACACCCTGAGCTCTCCAGCATCTTTGAAGCAGAACCCCATGTTTCATCATCTTTAGGCCCATCAAAACTGGAGGTTTACATAAAACACCCCAATTTCTAGCTTCTCAAAAATTTTACACCTACTACCTTCTTCAGACTGTCATACTCCAGGCCATGGTACACCTGGCCCTACCTACTCCCTTTACTCACTTGGCATTGGAGGTTAGCATTGTGATGACCCTTCTCTGTTATCCTGTCCCATGCATCTCCCCAGGTCTAACAAAAATCCCAAAGGAGAGGCTTACACTGCTTTACTCTACTCTGAGGCCTCCCCTCTTTAACATCGGTCAGTGCCTCCTGTGAGAGGGAAGGGGGAGAAAGCATGACCACACAGGCTTTGATGAGAAGATAAAGGGTTTTTATTTCCACTGCCTCTGAGCAGGTTTATCAGTAGAGCGTTACTTCTTTCCACTTCTAGGACACTGCATCAGAGCACGAGGGACAGAACAAAGAACCAGCCAAGAAGAAAAGAAAAAAATAAATGCCTGAGTTAATGTGAACTTTGGGGCTTCTGCTTTCTTTTTACCCAACGAGCAACAGTACCCCCTTGTCCTACAGCCTGCACCGATGTTGGCGTCTTGGTTCTGAACCTACTGAACTCAACTGCACCTTCAGTCACAGGCCATCATCCCTGGCAGGTCCTGCTACTGAGAAAAGCACAGCAGAAAGCCTGAGTTTGGGAGCCTGCACCACTCAGATGAAGCTCCACGGGAGCAAATACAGAGCCTCCAGGCAGAGCTACAGTCCAGGCTGGCTTCATTTTTCCAAGGAGCCTTTGGTGAGTTCAATTATCTGGTAAATATCCAGCGCTTCACCTGAAAGATAATGCAAATTGGTTAGGATGCTTTCTCAAGAATTGTACCTTGGAGCTCAGAAATGACAAAAGGACCTTAATGTTAAGGTCACAAAGGAGGCTGCAAAGGCAAGAATAATGGCCATGTTACATTTGGAGGGTGCACATTCTTTTTATATGTTTGTCTTAGATACACTTTAAGTAGAAAATAAGCTTTCTGATTTACTTGTTTGACATTCAAAGCACGATTTTCTCAAAAGAATGCACTCTGACTTTGCACAATAAATCTTTAAACATTTCTGGTGTGGTTGAAGAGGGGAAAGGTACAGGTAAAGGAAACCAGAGTTACAAATATTCCTTCATTTCCTATGAACAGTTTTCTGGAGAGACATCCCTTTGTGATTTCAATATGTTCACTTTGGACCCAGAGCATATGTAGCCTAGTACACAGCACAAGTTAAGAGTGGATTTCTCATCCTCTGGTGCCCCAAGCTTCCTCTTGTCCAAGACCACTTCCTAGTCCACCTTACATCCTAAACGTAATGAGGAACAACGTGTTATGCTCACCCTGGGGAATCCCGTATCTCCTTTCCATCCCAGTCGGGTTGGAAGGGGTTTTACAATCCATGGTCACTTCCTTCCTGAGGCACTGGTCAATATCGACAGCACTGAAAAAGGCGACCGACTGGGGCAAGTCGTTGAGACCCAGCTTGTAGGCAAACATGCACCTGGAAGAGACCCAATCTCCGCTCAGGCGTGCCCCTGCTGTGAGTGGTGGAGAAAGACCGGTCTCCCCTGGAGCAGAGCTGAGTGAAGGGCCAGCACCGCCCTCCATCCCACCACCTCCCACTGAGATACTGAAATGCAGATGCAACTCCAGACACACCTTTTTTTTCCAGTTTGGCACACATTGATGCAAAATCTCCTTTCAGGTATTTGAATTATACGAGGATTTTGTTAGCTTTGTTAAGCATAACCGCCCAGGAAATAATGAAGGCAGCAACAGAGATAGTGTTGTTATAAACATTATTTATCCATTAATCAGATCACAATTCCTAAACTGGTTCTGAGTGGCGGATCAACATGGAACTTAATATCATTTAATTCAACCATATAAATTTTACTCTGAGAAAATACAGTATATAAAATATGAATTATTTTTAAATCACATTTGAGTTTCTTCATTGTTAGCAGAATGACAAACTTGGCACTTAAACCCTCAATTTTTTATGAGTTGAGAAAAGCCTGTCATTTGATTTTCAAAACGGAATGGTCTGTTTCTAGGGGAGCACAATTAGAGAGCTACCATTTGACACTCCCCTGACCTCCTTTCCTTACCACCTGCGTGGTGACACTTTCAAACTCAAGAAATCTTAATTTTAAAAGTTGAGGCCAGCCTGTTTCCGACTTCTACAATATTTTTAAACTAGTCATAAGGACTGAAACTTTCATTTCTGGGGAAATGAAAAACTCACAGATCATGCTCATCCTGGCCCCAAACTCTGCAAGTGAAATTCAGCTGGTCCAGAGGCTGCGGCCCCGCCTACCTGGTCAGGAGGTTGGTGACCTGCAGGGCCAGGGCAGCGCGGTAGCGGTCCTCCTCCCGCACCAGGTAGCGAACCTCGTCATGAATGCTGATGCAGAAGCGCCCGTCGATGGCAAACTCCTCAAACAGCCACTTCATGGCCACGAGCATGAGGTGTAGGTAGTCCACAGCAGAGCTCTGCACCACCCAGTTCACGCGACTGGTCATAAACTGGGGAGGGAAGGTGGACACAGGTGAGGGATGCTGCCAGATACCAGTTCACTGGGGTAGGAGGGGCCTGCCCTCCCTGTGACCCTCTCCCCATACTACACGGGTGCAAGATACCTCCCCCTGCACGGCTGAGGGCTCCAGGGCCCGGCTGATGCGGCAGCCCAGCACCGGGGTACGCGGTGTGTCGGACATGGCGATGCTCTCCAACTTGTTGAACATTTCTGACTCTGTGCCCCCCATCCACGCACGTTCTGCAACCACCTCCCACTTCTTCCTGCGGGACCTGGGGGACCAGGAACACAGAGACCAGGCTGTCTGAGTCTCAGAACTAAATGCATCCCAGCTCTCCTGGGGCCAGCCCCGACCATCCCTCTATCGCCCTTAGCACACGGACGGTTCTCACTTTCGTGAAGCTTCTCTCTGGATCTTGCGCAGATCCTGCAGGGAAACCCAGCCATCTTCAGTCCGCTCCACAGGGAGGTGCAACTGCGTCACCAGCCACTCGCCCTCATCCGACAGCCGATACCTGAGAGCAGGGTCACTACCGTCATCCCCACGTGAGTGCCTCCTGCCGGGTCCGCATACCATCTTATCCATTTCCATAACCACCCTGAGTCCTGCCTATCCCCTACAGTCCCTACTTCAGAGGGGGAGATCAGCACAGAAAGGCTAAGTGACTTGCTAGGGACACATGGCCAAAAAGAGGTAGAGCCCAGAGTAGCCCAATAAGGGGCAGAGACTCCAACACAAAGGCCAGCACTTATGTGCTAGTGCCTTAGATGCTGAACTGCCAAACAACCAAGAGGTGCCGGGTACTATTCAGGACGCAGCACGGGCCACCAACGCAGACCGGCGTGAGGGAGAGCACGCTGGGGAGAGCACGCTGGGAGGGCTCCCACTGCCTCAGACTCTCGGCTTCACTGCAGCCTCAGCCATCACCAGATTTGTCCCCTCGTGGCTTCAGAGCCACGTCACTCACCAGCTCAAAGGTATACCGGCACTTCCCCTTCCTCGATGCCCTTGGTCCAGGCGCCCCTGTGAGGTCTTCAAAGGCCTCCACAGCTAAGGTCCAACCTCCTGTGTCGTCACTGCCCCGCCTCTGCCAGCACATGCCACCCACAGTGCCAGCTGCACCCAGCCCACCTCATCCTCTCCACACTGGATGATACCCGGCTCCCGTTGCCTGTGTGTGTGCAGTCATCACTGCACTGTTTATCACTTATTTATCTTTTAGTGTTTCATGAGGGGGTCAGCTAGTTAAACATAGGCACTATATTCTCCCCAAGGAAGTTAGAAGTGTACCTCTCCTCCCTCACACTGGCTGCAGAAATCTTCCTTGGAGCCTGCTGAGGCCCAAACACACAACCAGTAGCAGTATCAGGAAACACATGGCCTGCCGCTCCCCCACATCAGAAGCAGTTTACAGTCTCTGATTTTCCAAAGAGCCCTCCTCTCAACTACTGTGTCACCTGCCCGCTTCGCTCTCATTCCCCAGAAGCTTAGGAATTCGCAACACCACAGTACTGTTTATTCTGCGTGACCAAGACTGCTGACCTGCTACCACTTGGTGACAACATAATGAAAGTACAGCTTTACCCCTATGAAAAAACCTGTTCAAGACTGACTCTTAAGCAAGTGTCACAACCCAAGAATAAACCATCCTGGAGCTAAGTCATAGGTCTGAAAGGAGAGGGGCCACAGATAACAGGAAAGGTAGAAAAGACGGGGCAGTAAAGGGTAGTAAAGGCCTGGAGGAGAAAGATGATGGCGGGGGAGGGGGGGCACTCACCGGCGAAGGCCCTTGGTGATGGCATACATCTGCTGGGCCTTCTCGGCTGCCTCCTGGCGCGTGAGCCGATGGTTGAACTGCATGAGCAGGCGCTCGGCGAAGGGCTGGCCTGCTCCATAGATGCGGCCGTAGTTGAAGATCTTGGCATGCTCACGGCTGATGCCCACTGTGGCGGCGGTCTTACTATGCAGGTCAGTGCCCCTGCTCTTCCGCCCCTGCAGAGTCATCCACCCAAAGGCTGTGCAGCCTGTGGGGCAGGCCAGGAGTGAGGCAGGAGGCTCAGAAACCCTGTGCTCCCAACCTCGAAACCTGGGTCCCAGGGCCAGGCTGCCTCCACTCTGCCCAGCCCTGGTTCCTGCTCACCATGCATGCCGGCAAAGTGGGCATCTCCAAGCACAGCTGCAATCCACAGCTCCTGTGAGTCCACGTCAGCACCCACGAGGACATAGCCCGGTGGGGCCTGCACCATGGCCTTCAACTCGCTGCCTACTCGGTCGGGCTGCAGGAAGAGTGAAGTGAGGCCCTGCCTAGATGCCACCATGAGACTCCTTCCACCCCACTCCTAGAGCCAGACTTGATGACAACGCTGGGGACTTTCCTGAAGGGGTGGCTTTAGGAAGTGAAGACAGTGCTGCCCCAAACTCCCAGCGACGGCCGCCTTCAGACATGAGGCTGACAGGTAAAGAATCCCTACCCTGTGCCCAATACCCGATACCCCATTTAGCCACAATGGCTGTGGCTATCGTGCCTTGTCAACATCTGGCCAGGAATGTGTTTACTGGTAACTGATAAGCTGTGAAGCTACACTGGAACCTGAGTCCTGCCTGGCCCAGATTTCATGTTCCTCACGAAAGGCCCTCCACAACCTCCATTTCTAGAGACACAGGAGAAGAAGGGCAGGGACCAGAGGTGCAGATAACACATACCCGGGCATTGCTGGCAGTGAGCCACGTGGGCTCCACAGCTCGGCGGGTGATGGTGCCAGCGGTCACCACCTGGGGCAAGATGGCCCCATAGCGGCCTTCTTCATCGTAATCTGGGTGCCTGTGGGGAGGAAGAGAACATGAGCCTCAGAAGCTGGCTTTGACCCGAAGACCCACCCCACTCAGGTCTTCTGCCTCACAGCCACTTGACAGGCCATACCTGGTCACAGCACGGGGCAGAGCCGACCTAGGCAGCCATACCACCATCTGGGAGCTGTGGGAACAGACAGGCTGAGGCTCAGGCAACCATGGGGGCAGAATCCACGCCACCAGGGCCCTCAGTGCCCAGTTTCAGGAGCTACTGTGCTCCCTCCTTGCCCAGCCTCCACCCTCTTCCCACTGACCTGACAGTGTGGGCCCTGGCATAACCACGTAGGGTCCTAGAATCTACTAGGCAGGAGCCTATTCCATCTGGGAACTGGCCAGGCCGCCAAAGCAGCACCTGCCCTCATCCCAGAGTACTCGAGGCATCCAACAGCAGCCTTGTCACCACTGCCTAATCCATACTCAGGACAGACTGTAAGCCATCACGGCACTCTTCTCACGAGACTGCTGCCGGCAGCCACCACCACCTTCAAACTAGTCTTCAAGATGAATCAATTTGCCACTCCCGACCTATAGGATCCTGCTCCCAGTCCCCAACAGAGAACCAGCCCTGGTCCTCAGCCACATCCCACAGCTCCAGCAGTTACCTAAGGGGTCCTCTGAGAGCTGGGAGGGGCCATTGAGGACCTATAGTACCACCCTTTAAACATACACAGGGAAATAAGATGGAGAGGGAATG